GCGGTGCACTCGCGATGCTCTGTCATGCACCCAGGCCGCGAATCCTGTGCAAAAAATACCACAAAGAGCACACTCGCGCGTTCATGTCAGAATCCTACCGAACACCGTGTGTTTGCAAGCATTTCAACATAAAAACATCAAAAACCCAATGCTTTTTCACAAAAATGCTTTGGGGTGTCCTGTCAGACCGTCGGGCTTCCTCCGGCCACCTCTGGCTTCCTGCGGTGTACCGGGCCATTCTCGACTCGTCTGGCAATGCGTGCGCGGCATTCAACACGCGCTCGCCAGTTCCCGTCGGCAACCGCCATCGCGGCCGCATCAGCTGTACCAAACCGGCTGGCCGGTGTGACTTCGGCCCCCAGTTGTGCCAGCTTTGCTTCTTATGTTGTGGGAGGGCGGGTGGGACTGGGCGTGCCATGCTTGACTCGCTCGAGCTGGCTAGCTTGACTCCTACTCCTATCCTTCCTATTCCTTATTAGAATATACTCCTACTCCCCCCTCAGGCCGGCCATTAGGGGCCGCATCCGGGGGGTCCCATCCTAACCTGTAAAAAACAATACAAAATCAACATTTTTCTTATTTTTTCCTCTCGACATGGACGTCTTGTCGTCCACGGCGATAATCCATTGCAAAAAATACCACAAAGAACACACGCGCGCGTTCATGTCAGAATCCTACCGAACACCGTGTGTTTGCAAGCATTTCAACATAAAAACATCAAAAACGAAATGTTTTTTTTTTGTTTTTTCACAAAAGTTGTACAAATTTCCCGCCCGGGCTCTCTTGCTGAAATCATAGGAGAACCATAGGAATCTTAAGAATTCTGTCAAATCCAGCGATTTCACGTCATCGCGCGGTGCACTCGCGATGCTCTGTCATGCACCCAGGCCGCGAATCCTGTGCCAAAAATACCACAAAGAGCACACTCGCGCGTTCATGTCAGAATCCTACCGAACACCGTGTGTTTGCAAGCATTTCAACATAAAAACATCAAAAACCCCATGCTTTTTCACAAAAATGCTTTGGGGTGTCCTGTCAGACCGTCGGGCTTCCTCCGGCCACCTCTGGCTTCCTGCGGTGTACCGGGCCATTCTCGACTCGTCTGGCAATGCGTGCGCGGCATTCAACACGCGCTCGCCAGTTCCCGTCGGCAACCGCCATCGCGGCCGCATCAGCTGTACCAAACCCGGCTGGCCGGTGTGACTTCGGCCCCCAGTTGTGCCAGCTTTGCTTCTTATGTTGTGGGAGGGCGGGTGGGACTGGGCATGCCATGCTTGACTCGCTCGAGCTGGCTAGCTTGACTCCTACTCCTACTCCTACTCCTACTCCTATCCTTATTCCTTATTAGAATATACTCCTACTCCCCCCTCAGGCCGGCCATTAGGGGCCGCATCCGGGGGGTCCCATCCTAACCTGTAAAAAACAATACAAAATCAACATTTTTCTTATTTTTTCCTCTCGACATGGACGTCCTGTCGTCCACGGCGATGATCCATTGCAAAAAATACCACAAAGAGCACACGCGCGCGTTCATGTCAGAATCCTACCGAACACAGTGTGTTTGCAAGCATTTCAACATAAAAACATCAAAAACCCAATGCTTTTTCACAAAAATTGTACAAATTTCCCGCCCGGGCTCTCTTGCTGAAATCATAGGAAAACCATAGGGAATCTTAAGAGTTCTGTCAAATCCAGCGATTTCGCGTCATCGCGCGGTGCACTCGCGATGCTCTGTCATGCACCCAGGCCGCGAATCCTGTGCAAAAAAAAACCACAAAGAGCACACTCGCGCGTTCATGTCAGTATCCTACCGAACACCGTGTGTTTGCAAGCATGTCAACATAAAAACATCAAAAACCCGATGCTTTTTCACAAAAATGCTGTGGGGTGTCCTGTCAGACCGTCGGGCTTCCTCCGGCCACCTCTGGCTTCCTGCGGTGTACCAGGCCATTCTCGACTCGTCTGGCAATGCGTGCGCGGCATTCAACACGCGCTCGCCAGTTCCCGTCGGCAACCGCCATCGCGGCCGCATCAGCTGTACCAAACCGGCTGGCCGGTGTGACTTCGGCCCCCAGTTGTGCCAGCTTTGCTTCTTATGTTGTGGGAGGGCGGGTGGGACTGGGCATGCCATGCTTGACTCGCTCGAGCTGGCTAGCTTGACTCCTACTCCTACTCCTACTCCTCCTCCTACTCCTACTCCTACTCCTACCCCTACTCCTACTCCTACTCCTACTCCTACTCCCTAACTCTACTCCTCGCCTACTACTACTTACTAACTAACTACTACTACTACTACTACTACTACTACTACTAATACTAACTACTACTACTACTCTACTACTACTACTACTACTACTACTACTACACTACTACTACTTACTACTACTACTACTACTACTCTACTACTACTAATACTACTACTATACTACTACTACTACTACTACTACTCACTCCTCCTACCTCCTCCTCCTCCTACCTCCTCCTCCTCCTCCTCCTCCTCCTCCTCCTCCTCCTCCTCCTCCTCCTCCTCCTCCTCCTCCTCCTCCTCTTCCCCCTCCTCCCTCCTCCCTCCTCCCCATCGAGGAGGATGCAAATTTTCGGACGAGGCTCGAGGGACGAGTGGGGCCATCGAGGGCCAGACCTCGTTGGGGAGTCCGGGGGTGCCCTTCGCGCCACGGCTGGAGTTCCCCTTTTGAAATGCTGGCCCAAGCACACCCTGGCACGGGTCCGGGGATCGATTTCTGAATCTGAGGGGATTGTGAAGGGGCCCAAATACACACACACACATAAACACCAATAAACACCAATAAACACAAATAAACATAAATAAACACAAGTAAACACAAGTAAACACAAGTAAACACACATAAACACACATAAACACACATAAACACACACACACACGCACGCACACACACACACACACACACACACCCAGACACCCAGACACCCAGACACCCAGACACCCAGACACCCAGACACCCAGACACCCAGACACCCAGACACCCAGACACCCAGACACCCAGACACCCAGACACCCAGACACCCAGACACCCAGACACCCAGACACCCAGACACCCAGACACCCAGTCACCCAGACACCCAGACACCCAGACACCCAGACACCCAGACACCCAGACACCCAGACACCCAGACACCCAGACACCCAGA